AATGACTATTGCAAATGTAATTTGAAAATATCTAGAGTTCTGCTTCACACTAGTCCTCCAAAGGGGAACCTCAAGGGGCAAATAAAGAGAATATCTACCAGAGACTGCCATGATTCAACATGTATATTAGAATTATAAGGTGAAAATTTTCCTCATTTTGTAGGTACAAATCTGGGAAAACATTCAACAATAAATTAGGCCACTGCGTATGAATAAATAAACTGGCATGGTATAGAAAGAGAAATAATTTGGACTTTGGAGTTAGATATTTTAACTCTAATAATTATTGCATCACCTGGTAGCTGACTGACCTTGGGCTAGACAAGTGGCCTGAATCTCAGTTTCTTCTATATGTCAAATAGTGACAATGCCTTTCTTTATGGGGCTGCTCTAAGACTTTGAAAATTACATGAAAAGGATCTACCCAATTCATGGCCTAGGGGAGAGACTCACTATACTTTATCATTGCTGTTTGTAGGCTCTTTTAGCTGTTGGAGTCATCATACTGCATGCTGATGTCAGAGCCCTTTGTTGCAGGGTATTTACTAAACCAAATTTATACTCATTACATTGATCATCAGTTGGTAAGTTCTACTCATATGTTTATCACTATACAGCAAAGAAACAAACTTATTTAATACATTACTGTAGGATAGCAAGTTGTATTATCACATCTATTTACAGACTTGGAAGAGTTAAGAGTAATGTGATTTCAGTCATTTGGCCAAATTCTTAAGGGTACTAAAATTTCAGAATGGTTCTTCTAAAGATATGTTACAAAGAACTGTGACATCTTCCATTCCATCATTAGTGTCTCTTTTGGAATAATCCCAGGTGCTTAACACAAGGTCTATATCTTCTTCATATTGTTTACTTATTACCTGGTGGGGAGAGGAAGGTAGTTTGCTAAGAGTGGTCAATTCAGGGATCCAGTCTGAGAGAGCAGCAAATCAACACTTCAAACATTATCAGTCCCAGTGCCACAGGGAAAGACCGAAATCTGGAGGATGTTGCACTGCACACATTTGCATGCTCAAAGAGGTAATATTCATCAATTTCACACAACTCACTCGCCCCACCCCACCCCAATTATCAAATGTGCAATTCTACTTTGCTACAGGAAGGAAGAGACTTGGAAAGTTCTGGTGAACACTATCAATGACTCCTCCAATTAGGAAGCAGAACTGCAGGAGCTGCAGAGCTCAAGTTAGCAATATGGCACTGCTTCCTGGAAAATGCAGACAATTCCACAATACAATGGGTAAATGCTCAAATGATATCTGGAACCCAAAGAGATGGCTGCATACCTACAGGTATATCCTACATACAGTAGTAAGCAGACTACTAAAATATATAGCCCAAAAAATCAGTTCACATCACGAACAAAATAAACCCCTACATTTTACCACAAGAGCATCACAGCATCAGAGGTGAACTACCTACCTACTTTTCTTGGCAACATGAAAAACTAGAAAAGTGTAGGCCAAGCAATTATTGGTTGGAGTACATTTCTTATGTCCAAGAAAAATTATAATGACTCTATATAACCAATAAGATAGATGATCAACTTCAACATACTAGAAATATTAAGATCAAATTATATAGCAGCTTTACCAGCAATATCTATATATTATGCATAATGCTGAATGACAGGAGTGACCTTAAAGCTGTGTTCAGTGAAACAGACCATTATTGGGTTTGACATGTGAACGTATGGCAGTAAGCATAATCTCCAGGCAAACCTAAGTGAAAGACTAATCAAAAAAGTAGAAGGCAACAGGAAACAACAAGCCATAAGCACAGTTATATTACTACACTAGTAGAGATAAAGCTGACAAAACTCTAATGCCTCAAGTTGAGAAAATTTAGTCAGTGGTTCTTACTCTCTGGCCTGCACATTATATTCATTTGACAGACTTAAAATTACTGAGGCCTGGCCCTACTCCAAGAGATTCTGATTTAACTGATCCACTAGCCTGGAGCCCAGGCATTACCATGTTCTTGTTGGTGTTGTCATTTTGTCGTTATTTTGTAAAGCTTTCTAATGCATAGCCAGGCTCAAGAAATGCTAAACTAAGTCATGTAATCTATCAAGCTAAAAAATAAACTTGCAAGTAATGGGTTCTTCAGACAGGTATCTGCTAAATATAAAAGAACAGCATTTGTGCTAGTGGGGAAAAATTATTTTCCATGCATTAACACTTAAAAAAATAGCCATTCAGCACATGTTCACATCTACTTTCTTTAAAGGGAGATTTCACCTGTCTTTATAGCTACTGATTTTATAGTAAATGAAAAAATAAAATGTATCCATAAACTAATATAAATCACAAGTACACAACTAAATATCACGTTCAACTTTTTTTCTAAAGTATATCCCAGTGTATCTATGAGAAATTTTATTTATTGTGTAAAACCTTATCATCTGTACCAATCAATAGACAGTGACAGCTCTGTTGTGCATTCAACAATGAAATTAGTAAGTTGGTGGTCCCATAAATATATCAACAAGGGGAAAGTGACTATTCAAAAAAAAAAAAAAAAAGCTTGGCAAACACAAATTAGAAGTTAAAATTTTCATAATCTAACATCAAAAAGATATTTCATTTTCTCATAAATGCATATACTGTCTTTCTAGGATAACATATTTCTCTCCCACCTTAACATATATACTGTAAAATATTCATAGTCCATATGCAGCAAAAACGCTAAAAGTTAATCACCTGGTAAACTAAACTTGCACAAATTAGAGGATAAAATGATATTGAAATAAGGTATGAAGTAAGATTTAGTTGATTAAAGCAGTGAAAGTTATAAATGCCTATCATTCTTTGCTGGTTTTAGAAAAAGAGATCAGACAACCTGTGCAATATGCATCCCACATCCTCTTCTAGAGGAATCTTTAAGAAAGTCCACATTGTCTACTATGCATTAATTTTTGTGTGAGTGATCTTTTTTCATGGGGGAAAGGGATGTGAACTTAATATCCAGATCAATGTACTACAGTGTAGAGAAAGCATTTGAAGATATGAGAGCCCTGGTGCAGAGAGGACCACTAAAAGATTAAATTTTGGGGAAGTCTAGGCAAGAGAACGATAGGCTGGGGTTACTACTATTTCCATCTCTCAGGTACAGTGAAATCTCAGCTGTCCCTGGACAATACATATTTTGAAATTACTCTTTTTCAATCAATTTCTCATATGCAAAATTTTTGACCATTTTTCTACCTTGGCTGGCAGTATTTCTGAGTCAACTTTCTTCCTTTCTATTTCTTGACTAGACTGGAGCAATGAGGTGTCAGTGTGAGTCTTCCCTTCTGGGTAAGCAGATCCTTAGATTGGCAGAAGTGGGGAATTTGTGGTAGAAGGGAATTAACATTTCAGCCTTGAATGAAGAGACCCACAGAGGAAGGCACCCAAATTATACCAGCTCCAAGGGAGCAAGTAAAGAAGACACAGATAAAAAGAGTAAGGGACAAAGAAAGAGCCTAGGAAAGGTACCCTGAATGACTGTAGAGGAGAGAGCCTGCCCCAGAGCTTGTAAGCACCCAGTGGGTTATTCACCGAAGAGCACTTGGTTAGCTGGAGGAGTAGGGGAAGGAAGAGGGAAACAAATACTTTATTTTTTTCTGTCCTCGTCCTTGCATTAGGGGGCTGCTTAATTTAAGCAGCCTTGAATTGATGGTCTTTGTAAGAATTTCTAAGTTTACTTTAATGTTTTCAGAAGGTTAAAAACTTATGGCTTCAGATGCTTGAGTTTGGCTTTGTTTTGCATCAGATTTTGCCCTTGTCCTGACACAATTCAAATCCCAAGAGAGATATCAATTGAGACAATTTAAAAATTCACTTCTGGTTTTTACTTATATTTAAATATAATTTAAGAATGTCTTGCTCTTCATCATATTGTCAGATCTCTAAGATTCTAAGGTCTTCATGAGAAGCTAGAAGGTTTCCCTGTTCTTTAGGAAAGGGGAAAGGGCACAGAAAGGAGAACAATTCTTCTTGTTTTCTGTGGTTGCCAGCAGAAGCGCCTAGGAACACGTCCAAAATGTCAGAGCAGAGAAGGTGCCTCACATTAAGATGACTGGCTCACAACTACCATGAAATGAATTATGTATTTTATTCTGTACTTAAATATTTTTATTAGAATGGCCTTCCCTTTCAGTTGCTTTCAAGTTGGATGGGAAAAGATACTGCTTATGCCAAAGATATAGCAAAAACCCATTTTGAAGTACCTCAAATTCACACAGGTTTACTTATACTGTGGATTAAAGGACATGCCTTAAATGTACATACACTTACATGTGTATTTGAACATAGATATTTCCACTATAAAATAGAAACCCTCCAAACAGCCGAAGGAACTCACATTTGACATCTATTTTTAAATCAGACTTCTAATGAAAGTATGGTTTGCAGATGAAAAGTTTCAATATTAGGATACAGACACAGATAATTGAATTGATTTATAATGACTAAACTAAACCATGGAAATAAGCCCAGTTCCCCTATTCTCATTAACCTGAGAGTCCAGTCTATTCATTAGTTGTAGTGTGTGATTTAAAGTTGAAAAAGTAAAAAAGATACTGAAGGAGTTAGTATAATGAAATATTCTTTTTGAAATTTGAAAATCTGGTTGCATTCCATAATTAATTTTCCCTGTGAGCTAGGCCTCCAACTTAAAGTCTTCTCAACGGGATTTTTAAAAACCACCAAATGATAATCTTAAAATTGTTTCAAAAGGCAATTGTATAAAGTCCTCAGTTGATTTATACTTCATTGCCATTAGGAAAAGAAAATTTAAAACTACCCTACTTCCCACATTTTCTTTGAAAAAACTTGTTTAAAAATACAAATATTCAATTTTAAACAAATAGTATATACTGTTTCATTTATATAAATATAAAAATAAATAATTAGGTATCTTTTAGGCTCTAAACAAAAATGGCCATAACTAAAAACAAGTGCAAAAGAAAAAAGCTTTGATGTTACTGTACCTACCTTTAATGTGATACTATAATGTCCAACAAATGTTGCATTTATCCATGATCTTGAATGGGGATCTCCCAGGAATTCTATATGATATTGTTCAACATTTCCATCCAGGTCATAGATCACATATTTCCCTTTAAAAGGATCTGGGCAAAGTATCCCAGGCCAACTTCAAAAGAAATTATTTTTAATTATTTCAGTGCGTTAAGAAAGGCTGAAATCAATGCATCTGTTATAATCATATACCAAACTTTCTCCTTTGAATTTTAATAACTCACAAAACTTAAACATATTGACTTGCATCCTTTAAAAGTAGGATATTCATTTGATAAAAGTCATCAGTTGTACCTTTGTAGATATAGAAAGCTTTGGTAAAGTCACATATTTAAGATAAACATAAAATACAAGGATAAAGAATTATAAGACAAAAGAATGATTTCTAGGATCTGGAAGAGACATTTAGACACTGCTAACAGGAAAGGTTAAGATTCATGGCAAGTTTGAATCAACTCTAAGCAATAAGAATGCGTAATTACTAAAATGTTAACTCACTGGCAGAGCTTCTGATGGGGTAGGAGAGAGCTGGCATTTCCTGAGCCAGGGCTGCCCAAAGGGTACTGATAGCGCAGGCTGTGATAACATTGGAGATTCTAACTACTGTGGGACAAGCAGAAATAGAGCCCAGCAGTTCTATATTGCCCCTCCCTGCCCCCACCCCCATCTGCTCCATTGGTAGGAGACCAAATTTATAAAAATTTTTAGTATTGGAAGTAAAATTTATCCTTTACTAAAAATAAACCTTTAGGGGTATATCCTTTTGTGCCACAAACCTCTAGAAATTCTATTAGAAATACGTTTCATCTTTTTCTTTGAGAAAAATAAAATACATACACATTAACTAAGTTTTAACTATTTTACCAATCTTTCTGGCCTCTGACCTACTGTTTGGAATCTAAAGCAGGAAAGGAAGGCAATAAATAAAGTCAGGAAGCGGTAACTAAGGGATGCCAAGTTCTACCTCAGTTTGCAGCTCCCTCGTGAAAAAGAGAGAGTGAGGATCAAATCAGGAGATCCAGGCTCTGGCTCTGCCTTCTACCAGACAAGAGGCCTCAAGCAGGTAATGAGGCCTTGCTGTGACTCTGGTTCCTCAATGTGCTATTACAAAGTTCACACAAATATGTGCTTTATACATTTCTGGTTTTTGACAAATTAAAATATTATAAAGTGCCTTCATTATGAACCAAACTGTGTTCCCCCTCATCAAGTTCATATGTTAAAGTCCTTATAACTCCAGTACCTCAGAATGTGACTGTATTTGGAGATAGTGTCTTTTGGAATGCCCAACTGAGTTAAAAGGTGAGCCCGAATCCAACATGACTGGTTTCCTTTTAAAAAGAGAAGATTAGGGATTGCACTGAATGTATAGATTGTTCTAGATAGCATAGACATTTTAACAATATTTGTTTTTCTAATCCATGAGCATGGAATGCTTTTCCATTTCTTTGTATCTTCCTCAATTTCTTTCATGAGTGTTCTATAGTTTTCTGAGCACCCTACCAAAATATCAACTTTTTTTTCACAGAGCTAGAACAAATAATCCTAAAATTTGTACAAAACCAAGAAAAGACCCTGAATAGCCAAAGGAATGCTGAAAAGAAAGCCAAAGCTGGAGGCATGACAATTCCAGACTTCAAGGTCTATTACAAAGCTATAATCATCAACACAGTATGGCACTGGTACAAAAACAGACACACAGGTCAATGGAACAAAATAGAGAACTCAGAAATGGACCCTCAACTCTAAAGTCACCTAATCTTCAACAAAGCAGGAAAGAATATCCAGTGGAAAAAAAGACAGCCTCCTCAACAAATGGTGTTAGGAAAACTGGACAGTCACATGCAGAAGAATTCATCAAAATCCTAGAGGAGAACACAGGCAGCAACCTCTGTGACTTTGGCCATAGCAACTTCTTGCTAGACACATCTCCAGAGGCAAGGGAAACAAAGGCAAAAATGAACTATTGAGACTTCATCAAGATCAAAAGCTTTTGCACAGCAAAGGAAACAGTGGACAAAAGTAAGACAAAGGAAACAGTGGGCAAAAGCAAGACAACCAACAGAATGGGAGAAGGTATTTGCAAATGTCTTATCAGATAAAAGGCTAGTATCCAAAATCTACAAAGAACTTATCAAACTCAACACACAAAGAACAAATCATCCAGTCAAGAAATGGGCAGAAGACATGAACAGACATTTCTGCAAAGAAGACATCCAGATGGCCAACAGAAACATGAAAAAGTGCTCAACATCACTCAGCATCAGGGAAATACAAATCAAAACCACAATGAGAAACCACCTCCTACCAGTAAGAATGGCTAAAATTAACAACTCAGGAAACCAAAGATGTTGGCAAAGATGCAGAGAAAGGGGAACCCTCCTATATTGTTGGTGGGAATGCAAGCTGGTGTAGCCACTCTGGAAAATGGTATGGAGGTTCCTCAAAAAATTGAAAAGTAAAGCTACCCTATGATCCAGCAAATTGCACTACTGGGTATTTGCCCTAAAGATACAAATGCAGTGATCCAAAGGGGGTACCTGTACCACAATGTTTACAGTGGTAATGTCCACAATAACCAAACCATGGAAAGAGCCCAGATATCCATAAAAAAAAAAAAAAAAAAACAAAAAAAAAAAAAAAAAGCAGTATGTATATAAAATGGAATGCTACTCAGCCATCAAAAAAAAAAAAAAAAAAAAGGGCACCTGGGTGGCTCAGTGGGTTAAAGCCTCTGCCTTCGGCTCGGGTCATGATACTAGGGTCCTGGGATCGAGCCCTACATCAGGCTCTCTGCTCAGCAGGGAGCCTGCTTCCTCCTCTCTCTCTCTCTGCCTGCCTCTCTGCCTACTTGTGATCTCTATCTGTCAAATAAATAAATAAAATCTTTAAAAAGAATGAAATCTTGCCATTTGCAAGGATGTGGATGAAACTAGAAGGTATTATGCTAACCGAAATAATCAGAGACAGACAGTTATCATATGATCTCACTCATAATGTGGAATGTAAGAAATAAAACAGAGGAGCATAGGGGAAGAGAGGCAAAAATAAAACAAGATGAAATCAGAGAGAGAGAGACAAACCATAAGAGACTCTTTAGGAAACAAACTGAGGGTTGCTGGAGGATAGGTGGGTGGAGAATGGGGTAACTGGGTGATGGACATTAAGGAAGGCATGTGATGTAATAAACACTGGGTATTATATAATACTGATGCATCACTGGCCTCTACCTCTGAAACCAATAATACATTATATGTTACTTAATTGAATTTAAGTTAAAAAAATAAAAACTCAATAAAAAGAGATTAGGACACAGACATGCATAGAGAGAAGACCATGTGAAGACACAAGGAGAGAGATGCGTCTACAAGCCAAGAAGAAAGCCTAAGAAGAAATCAACCCTGCTGACAATTTAACCCGAGATTTCTAGCCTCAGAATTGTAAGAAATTAAATTTCTGTTATTTTTAGGCTCCTCAGTCTGTGACACTTTGTTATGGCAGCCCTAGCAAACTAATCATATACAGGTATGCAATTATATATAGGTAAGATATTGGTATAATTGAGAGGTAAGAAGAATGACACAAAAACATTTTTTGCCTCATTTAATTATTTAGAAACTAGATAAATTAGATGTTTAGATAATTTTAAAACCTAAAGGAAGCATACAGATCATGCTATAAAGAATATGAAATCACAAAAATGCAAAATCCATAAATTACTTGGGTTTGAGGACAATAGATGGTTGATCTTCTAATAAATTATCAATTGATATGAAAGTTACAAAGTTATAAATATAGAAATTTATCTACCAAACCATTGTAAAAAAGTTTTTATAGATCATAAATAACACAATCTAAACTAACAAAAATATTTCATGCTTAGTATTATTAATGAAAAAAGTTTGATTCCAGGAAATTAACAAATCCCAAGTACAGTTGCCAGGAGGTAGTGAGTTGGGTGCACCAGTCACCAGGGAAGGTGGAATGTGAGAACGGAGCAGATGCCTAGCTGTTCCCTGGATGCTGAGCAGAGTTCTTTGGCTCTTGGACCTCTCTGAGTTAGGGAAAGGAAGGTAGAAGGTCTGCCTGGCATCCCTAGATCATGGAAGAGGAAGGGCTAGAAGATTACAAATTGAGTCAGACTATGTGGAACCCAAAGCCACCTAATATTTTGGAAAATTGATAATGGAAAGTCAAGTAGAGGTTCAGGACCTAAATGAAGATCGCTATCTAACTCTAGTTATTAGGCTCACATCCCAGTATCATTGTTATTTGGCAACACTTATTGGGCTTAAAAGTGCTTAAAAGAAGCTTGAACTAGAGTTTATCTTTTTTTTTTTTTTAAAGATTTTATTTATTTATTTGACAGACAGAGATCACAAGTAGGCAGAGAAGCAGGCAGAGAGAGAGGAGGAAGCAGGCTCCCCGCTGAGCGGAGAGCCCCATGCGGGGCTCGATCCCATGACCCTGGAATCATGACCTGAGCTGAAAGCAGAGGCTTTAACCCACTGAGCCACCCAGGCGCCCCTAGAGTTTATCTTTTAAACCTACATTGGAAATCTACATTTTTGAAGGAACTCGCTCAAAAGAAGATTTCAATAAGCAAACAAATGACGAAAAATGAATGATAGCTGTATTGGAGATTCCTAACTTATTAGAAATCAAGAAACAGTGGGTCCAAAAAAACACAAAAACCCCCCAAAAAAACAAAAAAAGAAACAGTGGGTCCTCCAATGGATTAGTAACTCTTTGAAAAGAAACCAAACTGTGATTGTTATATTTGTTGACTACTCTTCTTAAAATGCAAGGGGCTCATGTTTAACACTAGGTTATTTGCACCTCACCAAAATTTTAATATAAAATTATAAGTAGATATAAGTACACCAATTTCATTGAGTGTAAAACAATCACAGGATTTCTAACACTTGAGAAGTGAAAGAAAAATATCTTGCCATTATTATGTTTGAGATTTTCTGACACAGATTCTGAGAAAACTTCTTTTACATAAAGCCTACTGGCCCCTAGAGTCTTCCATTTAAATTGTTACTCTATAAAATAAAATAAAAATTAAAAAAATAAAAGTAAAACTAGAAATGACTCCTAAAAACAATTACA